ATAAACCCTTTTTATATTCTGATAAAGCCTTTTAATATTCTTAATCGTCAATCAATTTTTTAAACCAACACAAAAACAATGTTAACTAAATTATATACTCAATAGTCATCTTAGTTCGAAAAATACTGGATCTACTTTTGAAATTATGTAACTTATTTATTAAATATGAGTTTTTTTTATAACAACTAAAACATACCTTTTCAGACAATTTGTATCATGTGGATTTTGAACGGATGTTGATATTATTTTCAGTTCTAAGAACTGAGGTTCTATTAGTAATTTGTAGTACAATTTCCTACATACGTTTCAGCAGTTATCTGAAACTCCATTGTCAGATAAACTACTCAGGTCATGTTTCTGTTGTACGTATACAGTTTTATAAATGAATTTAGAGGTTCTGTTGTTAATTTAAATGTATATTTTATAATGGCAATGGTATACTGCCTTACTCTTTCCTCCAACAATGATTTTGAAAACTAAACATTTAATTTGTGTATCCGAAGGAAAAGGTTTTAGCTCGACTCATTTACGTTACGATTAAAAAGTCGTTTAGAGGTCTATTTTCTTTAATCATAAATAAGCGCCTTTTATATTCTGTTAAGACTGTTTTTAATATTCTAAATCGCCAACAATTTTTTTAAACCAAGACAAAAACAATGTTGACTAAATTGTATACTCAATAGTTATCTTAGCTCCAAAAAAAAACTGGATCTACTTTTAAAATGATGTAACTTATTTATTAAATATGATTTTTTATGGCTAAAACATACCTTTTCAGACAATTTGTATCATGTGGATTTTGAACGGAAATTGTTGATATTGTTTTCAGTTCTAAGAACTGGGGTTCTATTAGTAATTTGTAGTAAAATTTCCTACATACGTTTCAGCGATTATCTAAAACTCCATCGTCAGACCAAAAAAGGATCCGTAAGGGATGGAATCGTCGGAATATTGACATCTCTCACATACAAATAACGAAGACAAACTAGGTACTCATTAAAATTAATGTTATTTAAATAGGAAAAAATGTAGAGACAATTTTCATGGAATAGTTTTGTATAAATCCAGCCAGGTAAATGGAAATTTGCTTAGTTTGCAGGGTTTCTGTGGCGAGGGTAGCTTATTCCCTAAATTGTAAATTTGCTAAAACTAAAACGATTACAGAGAGGCACGAGGCACGAGTGCATTTTACGGACAGGGCCGGAAGTAGACTGGGCAAGCTAAAGCCTTAGCATAAATGACTTGTTTCTTCTCTTAGTTAATTTTCCCATACGGAAAGCTATTACAATTTGATAAGTTCACGAACCATCATGGTCGGGCCATGGGAAGGGGTTTTATGGGGGTTTTTATGAGATAATAATTGGGTTTTCTAATTTTTCACCCTTAAAAAACAACATTTCCCAATTTCTCTGTTTCTCTAGACCCTTTTGAATAGCTTAAAGAAACAAATAATTTAGTTTATTAAAGTTTTTGTGCGATTATTGGTTACGGAGAAAATTCTAAAAAGTAATTTACAAATCCCATGTTATTCTTACAGAGACTATTGTAAACTGTTGTAGTTGATCAAACTTATTCATTTTATCCTAAGATATTAATATTCTACTAAAAACACACTTTATTAGCCTCCCATTAGCAGAAGACCTAGGTATTTCTTATACCTAATGTTATTGAAATAGAATTGTATATTGAAAATCAAATCAGGCAAATGGTAATTCGCTCAGTCTGCAGGTTTCCTGCGGCGGGGTATTTACTTACTACCTGATCTTCAAGAAACCTTATTTTCAGCTACATAGAACCTACATTAAAACCAATGTTTAATATAGCATTTGTATTGTAATACAAAGCGGACCCATTTCCACTTTGGCCTTTCTATTATTAGGAGCCAGTTTGCAAAACCAGATTTGCCGGCGTCGAGTGTAAATGAGGTTGACTTTTGTTTAATTGTAAGGTGATTCTCTCCCTCTCAAACAACATTTGAAATCTAAACTATTTGTTTTGTTTCTGTAAAGATAGTTATTCCATCCTTTAAAATGTTCCACCATTATTTTATTAAGTATTAACATTTATGCTGGAAATTGTTTCCAACTCGTTATGTTCCATAAGTATTCATAATTAACAAATTTATCAATGTGTGTCAAGTTCACACGGATACATAAACATAAAAATACGAAAATAATAAAATTTATCCATCGCTTGTTACATCCCCATTCGCTGTAAAAATATTTTGTGTTAATATTGTTCGAGTTTATGTTACACATAAAATCCACAATTTGTTCGATTATCATGTTTACAGAAATTCCCAATTGTATTTATTTTAAAGGCAAATTCAAACACTCTTTACATTATTGGTATTATTAAAAATATTATTTATAAACAAAATGATGTTTTACTGTTGCCTTAATACTTTACATATGAGTAAGCTGTACATTTACAAAGATTTAGTTAGACATGGATGTTAAGTGTGGTGTAATACTTTAAGGCGATTGGTTATAATCTCCTCTAATCCAATGTTTCAAAATTTACCTCGTAATCTAAGCTTTATTGGAACATTTATCATTTTGAAATATACTCTCTCCTAACAGGTAATTGTGCGTAAGTGATTTAAAGTCAATATTGTTAAAGTTCCTAGAGTTAGTAAACTGATTTGATTTGAAAAAACATATAGTTGTTATACTTAATAGAACACTAATAATTTAGTTAATGAAAACTTATGTTACTAGATGTAAAGTAAATAAATATTTTTTATTAATGTTTTAATTTTATTTAACTTATTAAAAGTTATTTTGAGAGCAAGGGAGGGGGCTTTGTTAAAATTTGTATGCGAAAACAGAAAAATCTGCTATTTTAAATAACATAGCATTTAGAGCAATAGTAAGCTATTTTATTTTTTTGTTGATAATGATAAAAATTTCTGGTTTTGTGAAAAGATATTAATTGCAGGATTTCTAATTTATAAAGTAAAAACTACTTCCTTTTTGCCAAATATTTAAAGGAAGTTATAGGAATAGTGCTACTGTTGTTATCAGAAACATTTATAATTTTTCTAGCTCACAAAAGTTTTTAGTTCCACATGAAACGTTGTCCTCCTACGTTTACTTGAGCTTCAGTCCTTTCTGAGTCAATATAAGAACTCGTGCATAGTAGTTTAGAGCGACTATTTTAATTCACAGCCTAGATAATGGTAAATTATGTATTAATTAAAAAGGAATAAAATATTTAAAAAGTCCTTTATAGATCAAGCGTTTCTTTGTACCTGCTTTTCAGAACAACTATCATCTTGATAAATAACAATATTTATACCAACAAATAAATAAGTATAATCAATAACAAAACAAAACAGGAAACAAGACAATATAAAATATAGTAAAATTGAAAACATATTTAATATAATCAATCTTATAATATTACATGTTATGTCACGGAGAAAAGTAATTAATAAACAGAAGATAAAGTTTATTTTAATAGTGTTATGATTGTATGATTAGAGATAGCTTTTATAAAAACAATTCAACCTTTTTATTTGTTGCACCGTACAACAGCCTAAATGGAATTTGATCTTTCAATTCTTAAAAATTGAAGAGAACACAATAAGAAAATTAGTTATTTTATAACGAATATCTTTTAAACAAGTGGCAGCGAATTTCACAAAAATGTGTCATGGTATGATATATGCATCCCCTAGGTTTGAATAATTGAGAAACGACCTGGATTAGTGGTTATGCGCGGGGCTCCAGTCTTCAGGTTCGAATCCCACCAACCACCAATCACTTTATTTATACTGTACTATAATAACGCGACCCACGAGGCCTATCCTGAAAATATGAGTAGATATGTAACGTCCAACGACGTAGAAAGTGAACTTGGGGTAAAGAACCTCGTAACTTGGATAAGACCATTCCCTTAAATATACTAGACTTCTATCCTAGTCTTAGCTAAGAAAAGCTTAAATTTAAAGTAAGGTAAGTGAAAATGTTAACATGCAAAATACTTAACTGATTTCACTGTGGAACCAATTGGTTGCTAAGAATTTCGAAAGGTCAAGAGTATTTCCAATGGGGTTTGAATAAAATGCAAAGCACTCAAACAAACTCACTCACACACACACACACACACACACACACACCCGCACACACACAATTCAAACAACCTCAGCGTGGCAGGGTTGGCAGCATGTTGATGATGGGGCGGCTGTTAACACGTTTTGGTGACAATGTGGTCAGGTCTGTAGGGACTCCAGACCACAGAGCTTGTTTAGGCTTCTGTTTCATTTCCATAGATAGAATTTCGGTAACATTTATCTCAATATTTGATCAATTGTTTGTTAACGTTAGTTTTAGTGATTCAGTTGCAATTAAAAATCGTGTAAGATAGAAGAGGAGGGGAGTTGAAAACATTTTGTAAAATGTAGCGGGCTGTGAACTCGTTTTCTTTTTAGCTACTTACTAATATGACTATATAGAATGTTTAGTTACTCTCTAAAGAATCAATATCATGGATAAAATTTTATGGGATATCATGTAGGGAAATCTCCAAATCTTAAACTTGGTTACTACCAAAAGGAAAGGGTTTATAACATTATAATTACGTAAATAATATTTATTAATTCCATCCAACTAACATCTATTTAATACAAGTGGTAAAAACATTATTTACACATTTCAATACAAAATATCCAACTTTATCCCTGTAGCTCATTTTTACAAGAGTTATTAGTTTGAAAAAAGTTCGTGAACCAAAATATATACAATCCTTATTAATGAATGTATTGCGTTTAATTTATGCATATCACTTGACATCCTCATAGAAAGTTAGGTATAAATTAACTTGGTCGACACAAAATACTGGAACATGTTGATGAGTAACACCCATTATATTTTAGTTAATTTTAAACCAAAACCAAGCAAATATTTTTGATAATGTAGACTGTGTTTCAGTATAAATGCCTCTCTTTATAATATAAAGTTATAAATCAGCAATGTAATTGAACCATGCCTTTTCTTCTACACAATTTCCTCATCCGAATGAATCACTATCGGCTGACATCCAGTTCCACCCGAGCAATACCCTTGACTCAGACTGGATGGTGACCCGCTCCTCTTGGTGTTCAAGGTGGAGAACCCAGAAGGAGTGGACATCTTTCTCGCTCTAGGCAACGACTGGAACTTCCTACTAGACGCTGAGCTCCCTGATGACGTCACTACACCTGCGGAAGACGCTGAAGAGCCTGAGGACGAAGAGGTTCCTTCGGAAACCCCTAGGACTCCTTGGTGCACGATGGTGCAGCTTCCGATGGTGGCGTACCTTGGGAAGTCCGTGGTGGGAAATTGGAAGGCTATGGGTTGGCCGGGGAACTGCGGCCTCTTGTGCATGAGGGTGATAGGAACAGTCGTCGGCTCCTGGAGGATGGTGTTTGTAGAGCAGATGTCTGGAGGAGTCTTGGAGGTGAGGAGGGGTCCGTCGCAGCCTTCCTCGCTGGTGTCTAAAGCTTCGCCTTTGTGCAGCATGTCTGGGTTCAATCTGGAAAGATTTTAAATATTTTAAAATAGCAGATTTTCTTTAAACCAGTACAACGAAACTACTCAAGCAAAAAAGTGAAAATATTTACTTTTACTCATATATAAATATTTATATTTACTTGTATCTCTAATGGATGATATTGGAGATACGAGGTACGAACCTACCATTAATACAGCAAGCTGGTTATTTATTAACCAACTCGTAAAATAATAACCGCACTATTACCAGCATTGTATGTAGCTTGTGGCTTTGGTATGGACCTCTAATGTATTGATATAACGACATAATTTTTGCTTATTAAAGGTGGACACTTGAAATCGAATACCTAAAAGAAGGGGAGAGTAATGTCTAGCTTTATAGAGTGCAGAAAATAATGTTTAATCCACTTTTTTGTTTTACTTGTGTCTGTGTTCATACGGGTTCTAGAGCCTCAACTACATTTGCAATCCCCAAAAAATACTCTTAAGCTGAAATCATCCTGAAGGAAAAAGTTACAGCATATCCAAATAAAATACTCATTGCTAGAAAAACATTTAACAATGTTTAACGGTCATCGTTAGCCTGAGAACAGACTTTATGGACAATGTCCATATTCATGTATGTACAATGTATGGACTGAGAACAGAACTAACTATATGGCTTTGATAAAGTAAAGTGTTCCATATAATGTTCATCAGCAAGTCTGATAGCTATGAACCCTGTACACTGGATCCATTGTAGAATCCATTCTTCAATGGAAATGAGTTATCAAAATGCAAACGTAAGCTGGTCCAATCCTCGTTGGTTTTGGTAACCGAGTCAATCTGTCACTGTCCGGGGTATTGCATATTTGAATTTGTTATTCTTACCTGGTTGTGTATTTATGTTGTATCGGGAACTTCAATGTTTGCGTGAATAATATTGACGTTATCCACATGTTTTTATTTGTGTTGTTGATTTTTCTGACTTTTGATTATCCTCTCTTTAGCTTATTGTTTTACACTTTTTCTCCTTATATTGTTTTCATCACTCTGTACGAAAATCATCAATTTTCAATTTAACAGGGTTTTGCCAGCCTAAATTTAATTTTTGCTGTCCCAAACAATGCATTGAATATTTCAAACAAACTTTTCCCTGTACCAAAAAAATAAATTTCCCGTTTATGGAAAACGGGAAAACGGGTTTAAGGAAAACGGGTGCCCCCAATGGGAGCACAAGTGTATGCATTTTTTATTACGAGAATATAGTACAAACATCTCCTCTAAACAAACTTCGAAACTATTCTATGAGAACTTTAAAGAGAATTAGTCAAGTACATAATAATACTCGATTATTATGTACAGAAACAAGAAGCGTTGTGTGCTTATTTGTATCGTGTTGAAAATTATCGTTTACTACTCGTCACGAAAGTTATATTACGGTGGTCAACTGTTAATGCGGCTTCGTTCTCCTCAAAAACCGCTGCCTTGCCCCGAAATAGGATACTTGGGGGCTAAAATTGCAATTTAGTATTTATCTGTCGGTTGCTTTCAATTGTAAGCCTACTTAATTCGGTTTTAAATTATTTGCCTTCTTACTACTGTATTGCCTTTTGTCCTAACATTTCCTTCGGTTTGCATTTCCAAAAATAATTAAAAAAAAAATACATAATTATACAATTGTTTATCATTTACCTTTCATTTCTCTTTTGTTCATACTTATTGCTACCTTTATTCCTGTTGAGTTTTTCGTTAGAAAATTCATCTGTAAGTAAATTATCTTCTGTTATATCTCCTATTTTCAATCATTTATAATTTATCTTGCCTTTTTAGATTAATTTTAAACGTTCGTTTAAGGTTCTCACTTCATATCCAACAGTACAATCATCACAATCTACTCACACAGAGCTAGACCTCTTGACGAGATACTCCTTGCACAGCTGTCGCTCCTGGAGACGTCTGTCAGCTCCTGGTACCATGGTACGGACCATGTCCTCCACAGTGGCGAAGCGCTTCAGGTATGACGTCATGGACAGCAGCGCCGCCCCCTCGGCCAGGACGAAGGCCGCCCCAGCTGTGACGAAGGACCAGCCGTACTGGTAGTGGAAGGGGGAGGTAGCGCCGGGACGTCGAGGCCGGTCTTGGTAGGCGTCGGACAACACGGAGACAAATACGACCAGACCACTGGCTAACGTCAGACCTGCAATGGTATATGAGTGAAATGTCTGCAGTATAAGTGGCAGAGGCAGAGTTGGAAAGTGTACAAACCCTAATGTTGTCAGAACTGTAATGGTTTAAGAGAGAGTTGATTTTCTTATGTCCCACCTACACATTCTAGGATGCTACTAAAATTCTGTACTATGTGTTGGAAAGTTGAAATAATCCCTGGGCCCTGTTTCATAAAAATACTAGTCTAGTAAATACTAGTCCCGTATTTACCTGTCCTACTAATTTGTGTTTCATAAACGTTTTTACCTACGACCGTTTTTTAAAGTAGCCATTTCAGTCCAGTTCTTAGAATTGAAAAGTTACACTTTACAGCTGTTTACTTTCATATCCGCATAGTTTCATTTCATATCCGCATAGTATTCTCATATCCACACAGGTAAAGGACCAATGAGGTTCAAGTATTGAGAGAAAAGAATTAAAATTGTAATGCTTCGAACGTCAACTAATCAGCTGATCAGCTGATCAGTTGACCAATTTAATTGTTGATCCGACTTGTTCATGTTGATACTCGCGTATTCTTAATTAAGTTGGTGGAAGTCCAAAAATAAATTAAATATTTGCCGAATTGTACCTGATACAATATTATTTATGGTAAGAATGCTGCTAGCAATGTAATATTTAACGAAGTTTAACAAACACGTAATTACAGGAAATCAGCTGATTATACAACAAGTCGTTGCAATACTTTCAGTGGCAATGACAATACACGAAAACATAACCTCTCTAAAAAGTTATCAGTAGTTATTGTTAGTAATTAAATCCAGATTGATAGTAATTAAAAAACGGTCGTAGGTAAAGTAGTGTACGCAACTCGCGTTAATAGTCTTTACGACACTCGTAGAAGTTTTTAAGGCACTCGCCAAGGCTCGTGCCTTAAATTTTCTACTCGTGTCGTAAAGACTCACTTAACGCAATCGTTGCGTAAACTACTATTATACCACTAGTAAATACTAGTGTATTTTACTAGTCACGTGACCAAAACTACTAGTCACGTGACCAACTTTACAAGGTAAACTTTCAAAACAAATTTCTAACCTCAATCACGGGTTTTCAAACCCTTTATAAAGGGTTTTAATTTTGTTTTCATTTGATACAAAAAGTAAATAGTTGTAGAAACGCAGTATTTTCTTTTAATAATAACTATATAGACACATAAGTAAAACAATCACACATTATTTATCAAACCGCTATTATTTATGTTCATCAATGAGCCCGCCAACGCGCCAGCGCGGCGAGGCGTCGCGTCGCTGCAACCAACACGGTGATTGTAGTAGCCGGTTGTAGGCCTAGTTGCGGCGCTCAGCAGTTGGGTGGAAATTGATCTGTTGCTGCCGCATTCGCTGTGATTTGTATAGTTTTTGTTTTAGTCTGATATATAAAAATAAGCTTGCTATGAGTAAAGAAAAGAAATCTCAAATTTTGAATGTAGTTAAATCGTCTAAGGACATTTTGTTTATTGGAACGGTTTCAAGTACCCTTACCTATGTTTTCAAATATTCGAGTGCATAAGGATATTTGGGTTAGAAAGCATTTGGTGATTTCTAATTTTGAGTCTACAAACCATGAATAATAAGCCTAAACGTTTATTGATGTAACAAATAATTGCAACGCCGTTACAAGCAATGGAGAAGTAGGTTTTCAGCTATAGTAAAACATGGCATAATCGCTACGGCAGGGCGTAGCTCAGAGGTAGAGTTGTCGCTAGTCAAGTGGTTGGTCCCTGGTTCAAATCCGTGCCACTCATTATACTTTTTATTCCATTAATTAAACTCTTACATATTTTTACATTAAAAAAACATGATCAACATCTAATTTTGTTATTACTTTGAATAACAAATTCAGAATACCAAAATGGATTAAAAGTAATGTTTTTATGATAAGCAGTTCAGTTCAACGCCCAAACATCAAATATAGGCCTCCAAAATTGTAAGTACATCACAGGGTTTTAGCTATTTAGGGAAGCAAATAATAAGCACCTCAAAAAATACAATGCAACTCCTCTTTAAAAGTGTCTTACTATTATTTCCTATTCAAATGTCTTTAAATAAAACCAAGAGCATTGGGTGTAAAATAATCAGATTAATGTTGCAATGTTGGATACATTTGTTACATCTTTGTATGCAATACGGTATGCGGTTTTAATTTGGTTTCTCTCAAAGCTTAAACATATTTTCTGTGTGATAGCTAATAGTTTATATAACCATGAAATTGAACTCAAGTAAAATTAGACTAAAATTTCACAGAAATTGATAACTTATAATTATAATTAATTCTAATAGGGTGATTGTACATACATTATAAAATTTTATTTATCTCATTTTGTACTACGCCACATTTATTGATTGTAATTTATATCAAATAATTATCATTTTAGCACTCACAGATCTATTTTTATCTTAAATTGCAAACGTGAGCCAATTTGCACTTGCAAAAAGAACTTAATAATTCATTTTTTTAATGATGTGAGTAATGAAATAACTCTCTTTCCAAAAAATACTAGTCTACTTCAAATAATACGGGTGTAGAGAGGTTGTTAGAAAATGGCAAGTATTTACCAGTGTAATTTACAAGAGTAAAACTTTATGAAACACATTGCTGTCTACACTATTAAAAACCACTAGTAAATACTAGTCCCTACACTTGTAACTAGTATTTTACACTAGTAGGTTTTTGAAACGTAGACTTGTAAAATACACTAGTATTACTAGTCTATGGACTAGTAAATACTAGACTAGTAGTTTTATGAAACAGGGCCCAGATGTAGTAAAACCTGCAATGATATGTACAAAAGGGGTCACTCATAAGATGTCTGGTGAAGAAATGTCGTTTGATATTGTAAAATATATGCTAAAGGTGGGATTGCGATAATTGAATCATAATAGCATGCGGGCTAGGTTACTAAGGATACTAAGGACTAAGGATACTATGATATTAAGGATACTAGCACCCTAGGCATGATGGCAACTTAACCAAGAAAATTTTCATTTCTCTTTCGTAAAAGTGTGCATACAGGTCAAACGGAATAAAAGGTCATGCTATTTTATAAAGAGCATCTTCATTTGTAATTGACAGGATTTTGTCCTGGGATGCCAGGACACAGGTCCCCATTGATGTATTAATAAAAGAAGTATCTTAAGAAAGTTATTTAATTTGCTCTAGTTTCATGTATAGTGAGACTGTGACAACCATTGCTTTATCAAGATTTATCAATAATTTCTGCATACTAATGTTTAATTGATTTCAGAGTTTAAAATATTAGTTTTGGAAAATAAATTTTATGATTGAGATAAAAGAGAGTAAAATGATCAAGAGTAATGAGATATATTTTAAGGACTGGAGAGTAATGTTGAGAAATGGTATTGAAGAATATGAGAGAGAGAAATAATGAACACACTTATTAATGGGCACAGGAGAAAGCCACTATTATATTGGCATTGTAAAGTAAAAAATTTTAAAAACATACTTTAAAATAGAGAATAGTTTAATATGGATGCAAACACGTGTTACAGAGCAAAGTAAATTAAAACAGTAAGTAAAACATTGGAAGTGTTCAGCAAAGAGCATTTAAATACATGTTGAAGTTTACTAAACAATGATAACTGATCCTAATGTACTGAATTATCAGTCTATAAAAAAAGTAGAGACAACATTGTATGGCAGAATGTTTGACCGAAATGTTTATTTTGCTAACCAATATTGTTTGCCAACCCGTACAAATGTTGAAGTCAGCGACCACAATTATATCGATGTTGTCGCTTAGTTAAATACCCTAATTACATTTTCATATTTCAATTCATCTCTGATGATTTTAACAAGTTTATAGAACGAATGTAATGCAAATACGAGTTTATGTGTATTAAAATATTTCCCGCATAACTTGAAATTAATCACCATCATTTTATTGGTGATGGCTTTTCAAATTATTTAACTTTTTATTAATTAGGAATTGGTGTAGATACCTGCCTCGTTGTAATCCTTGTTCGGTTTTAAGAGTTGAGGTTTGAGCGGATGCTGTTTTTTGTGTGTTTTTTTTTATATGTTCTTTGAATCTTTTCTTGAAAGAACAAGCTGTCTGGCCTATACTGTAATGTATTCAGGGCAGCAGTCGCAAATAATCTTATAAACTCCAAATCTTGTCGAAAATTTGAGTTGACGTTTGGGCCCCCTTTCGTGTTTTGTCGCTCGGTCGTGACGAATCATTCCTCATACTGCAGTTATCATTTTTATTGGTTTTAGCGAGTATCCCTTATTGGGCATAAGTTATTACCATAGTACTATACCATAGTACATACATACATTACATACATTACATAGTACATGATGCTATTTAAATAGGGAATAAATAAATATGATATTTTAAGGAAATATTTTAGAGTAAATCCAATCAGGAAAATGGAAATTCGCTTAGTCTGCAGATTTGCTGTAGGGGGGGGGGGTATTTTATCGTTTTACAAGTACCGTTTTACGATGCCATTGTCCGTATTCATGTTCGTGTGTTTATTTACTTTGTGTGAATCGCCGACCCTCTTATGAAGTGGTAGTCCTTATGACATCTTTACACTTGAAGATGACTTCGTAGAAAGTCAAAACCAAATATGACACTATGAAAATTCTGGATTAAAACAAACCTGGTATTTATACTAATTTCATAAATAAGACCTAATTTGGAGGCTAATATCTAAAATACTTTTTATATTTATAAATCTGACAGGTGTTAAATTTAGTTTTTACTTTGTAACTAGCTAACATGTACATCAAAACAAATCTTAAAATGGGTTCTTGAACCCGTAAAATTCCAAACAGAAAGAAGAATTGCATTTCCTTCCCTTTCACCTATCACCTTTTAAGTCAGGAGTTAGTCACGTGGCTATTTCAGTCCCACTACAATTTATGGTAAAGTTTATAAAAAATCAGAAAAATCTAAATAATCTGTGTAAGGAATCACTCCAAGAAGAACTGTGCCGGGAATAATGCAGTCACTCATGCAACCCCCACCCCTTTACAAAAAGAATTAACCCGGAAGGCTCTTTTCAACAATATTCTGTACCACTGCTCTGAATTGATGAGCATGGCCAGGAACTGTTATGAAATAATAATGGCTAATTCTTCAAGAAAGCAATGGTTAGAGCAAAGTAAGCTTACAGTCCTAAGCTTTGAGGTTATGTATATTTGCTTTACGTCATCCTTGGTGTGACACGTGGTCTCCATGCTTCTTTTACCTGCCAAAGTGAAGAGCCCGCAAGCCACGAGAGTCTTGTGGTCAGTGTTGCAATGACCCATCAGTGCAAACATTGCAGCCAACAGTGTGAGGATCAGCGACACCGCAGCAAATGGCATTGAGAATCTGTCAAACAAAATACGTAAGTTAATCAGCCAATGCCTCCATAATATGTGATCTATTCAAAACTAATTTCAAATTTAAGATATCTGACTAAACAACCTGTTAACCGGACATCAGATCAGCAGGAAGTGGGCAGTGATTTGTGTTCACAGTAACTAACCCAAAGTGCCTATTTTTACTATTTTTACGTAATAATAATTATTGGCTTATATAGTAAGCATAAGATGTTCCCAATTCAACGAGTCTTTAAAGAAGTCGGTTTATCCTAATACCCCGTTATTCGGACTGACCTCGGTTCCGAGGAGTCCAGATAAAGTGAGTCTACTTTGTCTTATTTGTTTTTGCAGTATCTCATGTTTTTATTCACAACATGTGTGTCATACACAACAGTATAACTTAAATTACAGCATACTTTCTAGATTATTCATTGTGGCAGATTGCGTGTAATAAATATACAGGGTGTTTGGTACTCACTCAGTGTGAAAAAAAATTTTTGGTGTAAGTACAAAGTAAATGCAGTATGATGATGCATATAAAATGTCCCAAGTCTAAAAATTAGCTTCCCAAAGAATTATTTTATGTTTTTAAAAAATGACTATGTTTTTAAACTTAATACAGCTATTTCTCAATTACCTGTAAATGGATTTGAGTAGACATCATACTGCATTTACTTTGTACTTACACCAAAAAATTTTTTTCACACTGAGTACCAAACACCCTGTATAAAGGCTACTTACAGTTTTCGAAATCCTGAGTTAATTGAGCAAACTACGGCCGTTTCGGAGATAACTCCATAGTGTAAATAGTTCAGTTTAGTGTATGATGACTACGCACCCGACGATGGAGTTATCTCCGAAACGGTCATAGTGCTCAATTAACTCAGGATTGCGAAGACTGCAAGTAGCCTTTATATATGTATACTTTCTTGTTAGCTATACCCAGTGATAGAAATAACACATGTAAAATGCCTTGACTTATTAATTCCACTGAATTTGTGGATTTGCCTGAGGTGCTATTGAGGTTCTAGTGTGCGAGTTAGTTCACTTATACTACCGTACCTCATCCGAGAGACGAAGGTAGGGGTAAACTCCAGCGGTGTCCAGACGACGCCGAGGTCTGAACTGTAGAGTTCGTCCCAGGGGGAGTACTTGATCAGCTGACAAGCTGGCGAAGGCACGTCTACCAACATGACAACAATAAAAACAACAATAGTCAGATATACGACTTGATGTATATAAAAATATAAATTTAATTGTATTGTTTTCACCATTGCTTTAAACAATTATTTTACTGTTAGGTACCGTATTCAAAGATTAAATAAAGATGACCCTATTTTATTTTTTAAGTACTTTGAAACAGTCATATACTTTATTGAAACATTAAATAGTCTTTGTTGATTAGTTTGTATGTTACAGTTTTCACGTGCAATGGATTTTTTTATTTTAAAATTGTTAAATGCGTAAAATGTTAGTTATTTTAAATAAATTGGTCGAACGAATATTGCTTAATGCCTTTATTTGTTTCATAAAGATAACATTCTGAATTGTTAATTTAATGTTAAATCAATATTTGCTACTATCATTGTACAAAATAATATTTTTTTTTTTACGATCAAAGTTTAGAATACAATATGGACCCAACTTTTCTAAGTATGAAAGAAAACCCACATTTGGCATAGACTTCTTAACGACACTAAAACATCCATTTGAAAGCCGTAAGAGTCCACATTTCTATATTTCAAAAGTATGAACCTCTTTCAGACACTAATGGTCTACTCGGAATGGTCGTAAAAAGGGTAGTTTTGTGTTAAAGCTAAAGTCCTAAAACATATTGTGTTCAGACGTATAGAGTGCGTTTGTACAGCTTAGCATTACTCCTTTTGCTCGTTTTTTGTAAAGGATTTTATGTTCGTATTAAAAGTCTTTGAACAGGAAACCCGTTATATAAACTTAAATCGTAGCAACTGATATGATTGGTTTTTCACTACCATTATATTCACTTTACACAAATAGTTTGTAGCCTACTTTTTATTTATTTATTTATTTTTTTTTTTTTTTTTGCTAGCCTCAAAAAATGTTTTATTCATGACTTCAAAAACTTTAAATAATGACATTGGTATAGATGGACACAAAAAACAGTTACCTAAAGCACATATCAGATACTTGGATTGAAATATTTATATTTTATAAAAATTTTGAGCAAAAAATATTGAAAAGAAGACATTTTAAGACTTTTTCAATTTTATCTAACAATTTCCTTCTTTCGAACATTTAATTAAACATTCGATACTGAGAATAAAACTACGTCAGTTTTAAACTGATGAAATATATTTTAGTACAACATATACTCAATTATGTAGCTTGTGAAACTGTTCCTGGCTATATTGGAAAGTTTGGTTAGAGCGTAACCAGTATTATGAAAGTTTATATTAACGTAAGCTTTGTTACAGATATTGGATATCTAACTATGTTATGAGACTCGAATATTATTGCTTGAGTGCCTCTCATTATTTGCTCGTTATACTGCATATAAAACGTAGGTGAAGGTACTTTAAACATAACTTACAAATACATAAATTTGATAAAAATCCAGCTTTCTAGATTATAAAATTTAACGCTTTTAAAATCAATTGTTTTCATGCAATACAAAATTATTCTCCAATATCCAAGAATGTGTAAGGCACTTTTAAAAACTATAGTCTTGTGTTAATTGTATGGCAACATGGAATGCGGGGTTAGAATTTTGAGGATTTCACCTGCAATCTGTATTTCAAGGCAATGATAATTTTTCAATAAAATAGTCCTAAAACTTATATTCTTTAAGTTTAATTCTGAACACATTTGGTAAACTTGTCCATTATTAGAATCTCGATACAGCTGCCCTTTCTCACTGGGCTTTTAAACAATGGTCTAACTTAAAAAAGTAGTTTATTTTAGTCAGTAGGATACATAGATAATCTTACGTCATCCCACATTCATGTAAGGATGAAAACACGTTTCATGCATTGCATACAATCAATTTTTATCAAATGTATGAAGTCGGTGATCAAGTAATATTAATCCTGCATATATGGTGAAAATCACTTACGTCCAGTAATGTTGACGCGGCTGACAGAAGGGCAGGCTCGCCAAAATCCTATGCGGAAAGTGATTGTAGTAGAGGCGTGGGTAACAGGGACAATAACCGGTTCTTGAGTGTAGACCCACACGTTACTGACGAATGCTGTGACCAGAGTGACTAGAGAGAGCAGACCTAGAGTGATGCCTAGACGAGACAAGGAGCCACTACTGCTACTACAGCACATCCTCGCAATATACACTGGTCTGAAAACACAAAACAAATTAAGACAATGCTGTGACCAGAGTGACTAGAGAAAGCAGTCCTAGAGTGATGCCTAGACGAGACAGGGAGCCACTACTGCTACTACAGCACATCCTCGCAATATACACCGGTCTGAAAACACAAAACAAAATAAGAAAATTTTGTGACTAGAGTGACGAGAGAGAGCAGTCCTAGAGTGATGCCTAGACGAGACAAGGAGCCACTACTGCTACTACAGCACATACTCGCAATATACACCGGTCTGAAAACACAAAACAAAGTAAGACAATGCTGTGACTAGAGTGACGAGAGAGAGCAGTCCTAGAGTGATGCCTAGACGAGACAAGGAGCCACTACTGCTACTACAGCACATACTCGCAATATACACCGGTCTGAAAACACAAAACAAAGTAAGACAATGCTGTGACTAGAGTGACTAGAGAGAGCAGTCCTAGAGTGATGCCTAGACGAGACAAGGAGCCACTACTGCTACTACAGCACATACTCGCAATATACACCGGTCTGAAAACACAAAACAAAGTAAGACAATGCTGTGACTAGAGTGACTAGAGAGAGCAGTCCTAGAGTGATGCCTAGACGAGACAAGGAGCCACTGCTGCTACTACAGCACATACTCGCAATATACACCGGTCTGAAAACACAAAACAAAGTAAGACAATGCTGTGACTAGAGTGACGAGAGAGAGCAGTCCTAGAGTGATGCCTAGACGAGACAAGGAGCCACTACTGCTACTACAGCACATCCTCGCAATATACACCGGTCTGAAAACACAAAACAAAGTAAGACAATGCTGTGACCAGAGTGACTAGAGAGAGCAGGCCTAGAGTGATGCCTAGACGAGACAGGGAGCCACTGCTGCTACTACAGCACATCCTCGCTATATACACTGGTCTGAAAACACAACACAATGAAATATTATAAGAAGGTGATTCTACTACAAAAACAAGAGCATAATCTTAGACTTTAGGATTTAGAGGTTTCGTTAAACTAGCAAAAATACAGACGGACTACGTTGCGAGTTGAAGCAACCCATTTAAGAAGCGGGAATTGCTCCAAGGGCAGTTCGTCAAGGTAACTATCTCCCCTAGAAGTCTACTTTGCCCATTGAAGAATAACTTTTAGTCCAATTATAACAATTAAACTTGGTAAAGCATGTATATGGCGTTTTTGTGCTAGCCAATTTACAAGTGAATGTTTAATCGTTTTGGAAAATGGAAGTTGATAAGTTGGCAACTATGTTTCCCATTATATGCACTATTGTATTTCCAGTTGATCTTTCTGAGAAGTTTCAAAGTGTTCATAGTTATTTTTTGTAAAATTGTTCATCGCTCATAAATATTTTACTGATATCATTAAGTTTTAGTCAAGCTAAATAATATTGGCACTTAGCAAATTTAATATGTATGTGATCATTTTGCTAAGGATACAAAACAAAACAAAATTTAAAACACTATTTTAATTAACACCCATGTAAACCAACACGCAGAATCAAAATTTATGAATAAACCGTCTCAGGGTAACACAGATTATACTCAACAACTCAGTACTTTTATTTATTGCACAACTTACAAAATAAATAAAATTCATAAAATCTGCCTATTGAAACTCACAAAACTGTTCACCGTTTGACCTCGATTATTATTTAAGCATGTTACTTTAAACATATTAGTTTTTAAATGTCTGTATATGTTATTTAATGAATATGCCATACAATAGCTATTTTGTAAAGGGAAACTCACTAAAAAACTCAATATTCTCCTGAAAACTCATTTCAATTACCGTGTCATAAATCTAATTATATTCAAATACTTCAACCTAATTGGTTAGTCCCAACAATATATCAAGTCTCTCCAGTGAATTGACTCATCTAGCTTAATTTAGTGCGATCTTAATTAAAAGCTGCGCCTGTATTGCTTATTACGCGTAACATTTTTGTTCATGACGTTTAAAATCCAATAGCAAGATAATTTATCACCTGTTTTCCAATTAAAATCAAAGTTTATGCGTGTTTACTGTCTTGAATATTTTACACTATGTTAAAACCACTAAAAATTGGTATTCATGTGTCATATATTTGAGGTCCATCATTAGATTTCTCTGTTGCAGTTCATGCGAAAATGGGTTACCAAAAAAAATATTTTTTTCTAGTTTCCACAACTTTTTATAAAAAGGTGTTCTTCAATTTACTAAAACGCGTTATTATTTAGAGGGAATATTTTTCATTCGAATTGATTTTTCTCATTTTTACCAAGTAAAATTATCAAAGAAACATCGATGTTCCAGTGCAGTAACATAATAATAAAAATTGGTTTTGGGATATCGGTTGTGAATATTTTTATAGCATAATAATATAAGCTAATAATATAAGCTCTATTTGACAGTAACTATGTACAACTACACAAATTTCTGCATGCATTTAAGCACGTGATTTCAAGCCATGAAATGGATAAGGATAGCGTTTTTTATATGCTTTTGCTTTGCAGGTAGTGATGTAAAAATGTGATTTTCATTTATATTATCCCATGCAAATTTTATATACCTCTTACAGATAGATGTTGGCTGATAATTTGTGGCAACTCTTTTTACAAATTAAACCCTTTTATCAAGGTAAACGATCCACTTTAACGATTTGGTCATAATGTGAAAATTAATACGAAGTTTTAGATTTATAACACGCATAATAAAAAAACCTCTTATGTACTAAGGACAGTATTCCCTAAATTTTCAGCTATTACATAAATGCAATATCAATAGTTTCTTTCGATATGCAGTATTGTGCTTGGCATTATTTTTTCTGACATCATCCATATCCAACAGGTCTGTAAGAGTTCCTTCAAGAATCTGTAACATTTTTATTGTGAAATTATTTTCTCCGATACGTTAAAAAGGCTGCTGTGGTTCCAATCTATAAGGTTAACTCAGCATGTGTTCAAATTTTCAGCCAATCTCTTCAGTTTCCACCATAAGGGTGTTGAAAAAATGTGAAGAGAAAAATGAAAAATAATGTGAATTTTTTTATTAATTAAAATTAATTTAGAGTTGGGGTTAGCACGAAGGTGGCTCTTTTAGATTTGTTGATAGGTTCAATGGTGGTATTGATAATAGAAAATGTATCAGCTGGATTTGTTTGGACATTCATAAAGCTTTTGATTCGCTGAACGAATTCTATTAGACTATTCTAGCATTCAACAACGATGTGTAGTTATTTACATCGTTGGCATTCAATTGGACAAATTAAATGACTGTGGTGTATGTGGGATAGTCCATTCATGGTTTGCCAGTTACATAAGTAATATTGAGAAATGCATTGTAAACAATAGTATTTTTTGTAAAATTGGAACTATAAAACTTGGGGTTCCACAGGGTTTTGTGATGGGAACAACCCTTTTTACGTATATGTAAATGACTTGGAAAGTAGTACACTGAATGGTCGATATTGCTCTTTTTTCGGACAATAGAGCAATAAGCTATGTAAGTGATAGTTGGTGGATTCCAGAAGGAAAACTATAGCTGATCTCGGCCTTAGAAATCCGTTCAATTTTCGTGTTTCAAAACATAATCTGTCATATTTCACAACAAACTTATAAATACACAAAGCTCGAACTGTTTAATAAATGAACTCAAAATAAAAAGAAATAATTAAGAAGTTTCATGAATGTGTATAAGAACGGCTTTCAAACAAAAGCAAGGAAAAGTGGAGGTGCTACTTAATACTGCCTAGAGGGCTGAATTTTAATTTTCTTCTGCAATTTGTACTGAAGATAAATTGTTTATGATTGTACTGTATTTTGTAATATGGGAATATTTTTATTTATTTATTTATGTTTGTGCCTACTACCGCAAAAGAATTATTTATTTTATTTAGACATAAAATTATGATCTCGAATCAGGCATAGCCTTTCGGCCCCTATTTTCCTCTGTAGAGCATTACAATAGCAGTTTTTGTACAGTGTGTAGTGGTTTTATATAAGTTTGTATTTTATATTTTATATGTATAAACGTTATGAAATTTGAGGAAATATATCATGTATCATATATCATTATTAATCATAAAAACGCCTTATTCTTGTTTGGTAGCCTAATGTGACTCAGCTTTTCCTTGGAAAAATAGGCAACGATTTATCAACAAAAAAACCATCAAATACTGAGAAAAATACATAATTGGTAATGAAATTGATTCGGATCCCTGCATTTTATTTTATTATATTTCAAAGTATCAAAAACAGTATCGTGATAAATAGAAACTCTATTAAAAATGGATGAAGAAAAAATAATTCCGCAGAACTTTTAAAGGTAAATATTTTCATTACTTTGAGATTGATAACCAAGGTAGTGGTCTCTAACGAAGTTTTAATTAAAACTTCATGACCAGCAAGACTTCGAAACACTAATATTTTCTATTGAAAGGTTTTATACCTCTTTTAACTATTCGGGTAGTAAGGTTTATCTCCTATACTTTTATCAGGGGGTTATATTGTGCAACACTAAATTGATTATGCAATCAAATATAAAAAATATACGTATTTATAATATTATTGTTTCGTTTATCACCGAAAAATCTCAAGCAGTGTTTTTTCGAGTGTACTTTATATCTCGTAATTTAATTTAGATGTAGGTTTTCAAAAATATTTTACTAGATTCGTCAATAGGAAAAAATACGTCTCATCGTTTAATTTATTAAATTAGTTACTCGTTTATTTCTATTGTTTTAGGACAGAAGAGATATTATATGAACAACTACGAATCAATTTAAATTTAAATCCTGTTGCTGTTCAAGCATGAGCAAAAGAGTACATCGTGGTTTTAATGAGAAGTTTGAGTTTTAATAAATGGGTTATATATAAATTTATTTTTGCCTTTGCTGGCATAATGGCTGGTTGTTTCCAATACGGCATTATGATGTAAAAACTATAATATTTCAATGTTTAATATCAGTATTGTTGAGATTATTTGTTTTACATGACAGCAGCTAAA